TCAGGAATAATTAAATAATAAAATAAAAAATTTTATTAAAGATTGAGAAATTTGATACATTTTACAGAAAAAACGTAATCGTGATGTACATATCAGTGGTGACATATATTATTACTTTTGTGAGGGTGGGGGAGGGAGCAGGGCAAAGATCTTGTGATTTTTAAAAAAATAGAAAAAAAGAACCATGCCAGGTGAGGTGGGGATGAGACCTCAGCTTTGGCATAGTCTTGATTGTATCATAATCATTTTCTGCTGTCGCAGAGAATGTGAATACATTTAAACGAGCCCACAGGATCCCAGTAGCACAAATTGGGCTTTGTCAAATCATGTATTTTGTGTATAGAAGGAATTTAAGGAGAGCTTTTACTTATTTTCATATTGTATTTTAACTGTTTCTCTGATCAAAATTTTTTTACTTCTTCCCTCTTTCCCCCACCTGTCCCAGCCACCCTGCTCCTGCTTTCCAATTCAGTATTTGGAGTACCACACTCTCAGATCATCCCAATCTTTCTTTTCTTTCTTTTTTTTCTTTTTTTTTTCCTTTTTTTTTTTTTGTGTTCCTCCCCCCGAGCCCACCCAACCCCATAATCTTGGTCATAAATATTGCATTATTCACACTTTCAAACTGTGTATTTTCTTACAATAAAAATGATAAAAAAAAGGCTTTACTTCTTTTGCATGCACTTTAAAAAAAACAACAAAAACATTTTTCAGGTTCAAAGGAAGAGCATGGATAACTGTCAGAGCTTTTAATTATATTTGTAAATAAAAGTGTTCATCACAACGCCTCGCTGTATCATTGTAGTGGGAAGAGTGCCTCTCAGCCTGACCTCCTCCTGTGGGTTCCAGGAGGTGGCTGAGCAGGGGGAATGTGGGCCTAAGGTATTTAAGACACAGCCAAAGCTGCCCTTCCAAGCTGCCAAACCCACTTAACCTGCAGAGTGGTTTCTCCTAAGGAATTGGCCTTGCTGCTCAGGGTGTGGACTGCTGACAAAATGTTTAGTGGGTAATATGCAGTCAGCCAACACCCACCCTCCAGCAGTCCAGACTTAGCC